CAGTTGGCCTTGGCCCATTGATCCAGCCTATCTAGATCCCTCTGTAGAGCCTCCCTAACCTCAAGCAGATCAACACTCCCAACCAACTTGGAGTTGTCTGCAAACTTACTGAGGGTGCATTCTATCCCTTCGTCAAGATAATTGATAAATATGTTAAAGTAAAATAGAAGCGTCCTTAGTGCTGACCCCTGCAGAACACCACTTGTGACTGGCCACCAACTGGATTTAACTCCATTGATCACCACTCTCTGGGCCTGGCCATCCAGCCAGTGTTTCACCCAGCAGAGCGTGTGCTCATTTAAGCCGTGAGCATCCCGTTTCTTCACTAGAATTCTGTGGGAAACAGTGTCGAAGGCTTTACGGAGGTCAAGGTAAACAACATCCACAGCCTCTCCCTCATCCATCAGGTGGGTCATCTTGTCATAGAAGGAGATCAGGTTCATTAAGTAGGAACTGTCTTTTATAAACCCATGCGGACTGGGCCTGATCACCTGGTTGTTCTGTGAATGACTTACAATGGCACTCAAGATGATCTGCTCCATGACCTTCCCTGGCACCAAGGTCAGACTGACAGGTCTGTAGTTTCCCAGATCCTCCTTTTGGCCTTTCTTTTGTAACATTTGTCCGTCTTGGGTGTCACATTTGCTATTCTCCAGTCCACTGGGACCTCTCTATTTAGCCAGGACTTCTGGTAGATGATGGAAAGAGGCCTGGTGAGCACATTCGCCAGCTCTTTCAGTACTCTTGGATGTAGCCCATCTGGCCCCGTAGACTTGTGTGCATCTAAGTGATGTAGTAGGTCACTGACCACTTCCTCTTTAATTGTGAAGGCCACATTCCACCCCTGCTTCCTGTCTTCGAGCTGAAGGGGCTGGGTGTCTAGGGAACAACTAGTTGTACTACTAAAGACTGAGGCAAAGAAGGCTTTGAGCACCTCAGCCTTTTCCTCATCCTTTGTTGCTGTGTTTCCCCCTCTGTCTAGCAAAGGATGAAGATTCTCCGTAGACCTCCTTTTGTTGTTGTGATGTCATATGGAAGTTTCATTAAAGAAATAACAATGCACAAAAACCCCGTTATGAAATTTCAAAATTCCTTACATAGACCATTAAAAATATAAAAGGCACATAACCAGCTAAAAGCATCTAATCACTTCAAAGCAAAAATCATGACATGTTTTCTTAATGCAGATTTTAAGACTTATCAACTACTTACTTGTATTAGAATTTTTTCCATGGAAATTTGTGGCATATTCTGAAATAGGAGGGGAAAATAAAGTCATATTTGCTTCACCCAAGAAACTGAGAAAGGGCACCGTACTTTTCCTAATGAAAATTCAAACTACACTTGTCACAGCGTGTGATAGACTGTTAAAAGATTTGGGCTTAGCTCCCAAACCATGACTAATCTGTCATCTCCCACTGCAGGCTGAGTGAGTTGGTACCAGGAGATAACCAGAGATCAGCTAATTGTTATAATCTGTCAGAAGTAGGAATCCTCAAAACAGGAGGAAGAACCAAGTTCCTAGGCAAGTCCCAAAAAACAGCATACAGGGGATGGTTGACCCTAAGAAGATATGTATAACACAGCTCTGCAAGAAGCAGCTCATGAAGGTGACGACTCAAGGACCTGAAGGCATGAAGGAGTATGGGAGTTGCAAGAACATGATAGATCCCTTTGGCATCCAAGGAAAAAGGTCAATTACTTCAATGGTAAAGTTCTGCTATGCAGCTTTATTTTGAAGTAATAAAACTGCAGCCTGGGGAAGAGAAGAGGGAAATGATGAACATCTCAATTCTCCCAAGTGTTTTTTGGTGCATAGTTGTTGGGTCAGGCCACCAGCTCACACACATCCTAAATGCCTTACACACAGTTCTTATACCAGAGGGTAAGTCTGCAAAAAGGGAAATAATGATTTCTTAGTACTCATCAGCTGATTACCTTCAGTCTACACCATTAAGTCAAAAGAAAGGCGCTCTGTGCCAAGAATTATGAAGCCTAGGCAGGTAACAGAGCTTAGAAGCCTAACAAACCAGATGATAGATCTCTCTTGAAGCACAGCAGATACCATTTTCTTTTATAAAGCCCTCTTGCTTGATGGATTGTTGCTGAAAGGGTCCCCAAGATAAGTGGGTTTAATGATGAACTGATGATTGTTTCATGTACAGAAGAATGAAGTGCCTTTGATAAGCGATAGCACGGAAGAATGCATGAAGACCAGAGGGAAGGGAGATATGATCTACCTGACCGCATTTAAAAAAAACCTCTTGGTTCTTGGAGACACTATAAACTACGGATGCTTATTTAACTGTCCAGTTTGTTTTCTTAAGTTTCACTGATTGTGAATAGTTAAGCCAGCATTGCTGCTTATCTCCTGACCTTACCAGTATCTCAGGTCCACTGTTTACAACACTTTGAACAAGGAACCTAATGGTTATAATGCTCCCAAATGGAGTACTGTCAACAGAAATTTTATATTTCACCTGTAGAGTCAGTTGCTGTTTGGATTTCTGTTCAACAGCAACATTTTCACAACACAGCCCTCAGGCAGGGTCTCACCGCACATCAGCTTGGGTGCGAACAGCATTATTGTGTGCGCTAAGTGTCCTTAAGGGAACTGCTATTTTTTAACACCTTGAGTACGTCAGTTTGCAGACTAACTAGCCAGCTGTACTCACACCTTCTCCCAACTGCCAGCCTGCTCCAGGACGAACACACAGGATTAAGTATCTTGTCAACTATTTACTCACCGAGACTGCAACAAAAGCCTCCGAAAACAAAAGAAAAAAACTCCAATGACAAGGGATGAGTTGTTTCTGCTGGCTCTAAATACACTTTTAGAAAGTACAGCCCACAATAGGTCTGTAATAACCAAATGCCTAAAGCTCAAGTTTCAAGCAGCCCTTTGTACGCAGATTCAGCTCCTATCACTACATCACCCATGAAACAATTACAGCAAGGGTTTGAAGCCCCCCCGCAAAGTCAGATATACTCCGTACCATGGGAGCAGTTCTTTGCCCCGGAAAGTTCACCTGTGCAGTATCACAAGCCTTCACAATTATTCAGCATTAACATTAGTCGTTTACACAAGACATTGAAGGGAGTGGGACTGTGTCTTACCAAAGGAGCCCAAGTGGGAGAAGTTGCAAAGCTGGAGATGTCACTTCATTTACAACTGTTTGGTTTTTTTTTTTTTTAAACAGAAAAATTTAAAGGAAACTAGCTCACCTTTGAACCTGTCCAGAAACACATCTGGAGACACTTCTCCTGTTGCCACTTCATATTTTAACATATAATTAATGAGATTTAATAGATCATATAACAGTTTCAGTTCATTTGTTTCTCCCATGTCTGAATGAAAGCAGCTGAATACTCCTTTGAATGACAAGCAAGCCCCAAACTCATCGCAATATAACAAGCATGGAAGAAAGCAGCTGATGAGTTAGTTTTCCCCCATGTTGCTAATTGTTATCTCACACATAGCAGTACACACATTGTTAACAATCCTGCGTAACCTGATGTAACAGAAGCATTGCATAAGAAAAGCCGTGCTAACAGGATGACTAAAGCAGTGTTGGTGCTGAAGGACTCTGGCATGAAGGCTTGAGATATATCCAGTGATTTAAAATTTAATGTCTGGTTTTAGCAGCTAGCATCTTTTTATGTCTCAGCATTAATATTTAATTTTATTTTGTTTAAAAGTACTACAAACCAACTTGTTTGCTCAATGAGAAGATTAAAGCACACTTGTGTGTGTTTGTTTCGGTGCTGATCTGCTTTGAAGTGGAAACCCAATGAGGACCTACCTTAAGAGTCTGCAAAAACTTCTCCTGTAGCTGAGCCGCTGACTCGCTGCAGCCACGCTGGGAGGGAATGGAGGGCGTGAGGGGAAATAGGCCAATGCTGCAGAAAATATCAGTGAAACCATTCCAAATTCTAAACGAGAGGGCAGAGAAAAACAAAACCAAGAACAGATGTCAGCATTGACAGACTTCTTTTGGTACACCATTGTTATCAGCCAGCCTCAGACACATAAATCCCACCACAAGTGCTTTACTGCTCCCAACAACGTAACTCCCTAACTTGAAGGAGAATTTCTTTTTTCCTCCCCAAGCAAGATTTCAAATTGAGATGAAGAACCAATGAGATGGAGAAATACCAGCAGTCCATTCCAGTGACAGGAGCTGCAGAGGACCAGGCTCACACAGGGAGAACTTGGTGACACAGAAGGAAGGCTTTTGCTTTTTCTCTTTAGAGAGAACTGTATTACGAAGATTTGGCCATGTTATCTCGCCATGGAAGTAAGGCAGTGCAGGTAACAGCATGCTGGAGACTTTAAACAGATGGGACTGGGGAAGCTCCAGAGCACGGAATGACAATTACCTAGCACACAGGGCAATGAAGGGAAATGAAAGGTCAAGCAAGGCAGCATCTTGGACACAAACAGTATTACGTGGCAACAGACTATAAAGAGAAAAGCATAGGAGCAGCCAGGGCTCAGGTACAGAAAAAGCACAGGTAACAGGGAGAAAAATGAAAGAACACAGCTGTTTGCAGATGCTCCTCTTGTTCAGCAGCAGGTATTCTAGATCTTTGAAAAACTTCATAGCTTAAATTTGGACCTGAACTTGCAAAGTGATGAGCACTTCACAGAAAATACTCAGCAAGCCCCATGATCAGACATTCTGAGGGAAAACAACTCTAACCGCAGTCAGTCTAATTAATTTGTTTTACAGGGCTTTTACAATGTATATCATGCTCTCCACAGTCCTCAATCCCAGTATTTCTCCTATCCCCTTTGAAAACAAGATTCTTTGCTGCTGGAGAGAAAAAATGTATAGCTGAAGTGTGTTATCTTAAAAGAACCTGTGATCTTATAACAAAGACATGTTCACCGACACCATAAATAAATTCCAGCAGAGCTGGATACTCAATTGCGCTCATTTTCTTTTTTCTTCTCTTTTTTAATAAATCAATATGAACATGGCACTTTGCCAGCTCTTCTGCTAAACCAGAAGAAAATAAATTCAGGAAACTGAAAAGTAAATAACATTTGGAGCCTAAATGGATCAGCTGGAGATGGAGAAGGGAAATAAATGCTTCTATCTGGTGTATGGAAAAAAAGTCTACACTAAATTTCATTTGAAGGCATACCGGGACTGTGACAACGCCGTTCTTTGCGATCAAATACTAAAAGATTCATTTTGAATTATGTGGTGCCTCTTTTCCTGCTGTGGTCTAATTGCACGTTTTGAGGGTCAAGGGCACTTTTACTAGACCTTCTCACTATATCTCTTCTGTTCTCCAGAAAACAGATTAATTTCTATCTTTGTATACATTGTTTTTGAGACGATAAGCAGTGAATAAAGAACTGGCTGTAACCAATCGTCCCAGATCTAAGAAAAGGATGAGATGCTTTGTCACTACAGGACGATACTAGACAACGAAGTAAGGCTTGCCAAAAGCTGTTTATCCCCTTCTCCTGCATCTAGGTCTACATATAGGTTTATAGGTATACATATTTATAGGTATACATATGTACATGCATACACATGCTTCAATCACATATTAAAGGAAGACTTCAGACTGCAGACAGGTATAGCCAACAAGAATGTCACCACACAAACCCATAAACTTTGCCTGAGGTGCTTATTATTTAACTTCATTATACCGCAATGCCATAAGGGGAAAGGCTAGCTCTTTTTCTAAAGAACGTAAACCACGTTCAGAATCTTTTTAGTCACTGTAATATTGTATAACAGGTGCCCATCTGGGGCCTCTTCTACTGGTTGCCTCAAGATTCCTGCCAGTCAAATTGCTGCAGTAGAACCAGTATAGTAACAGTTCATATTTTATTTTTTTTTAATTATTAAATTCAGCATGCAGTCCTTGTAGTACCTTCTTGCAACTCTTTAATGTTTCCCAGTGTTACACTTTCCAGGCTAACAAATTTGCCTTGCAAGCACTGCCCTCGGGCCAAAAGAAAAGAGCAGAATGTACTTTGGAAACTAAAGCAGCTCCCTCTATTGAAGAATAAAAGTCTTTAGTGCCATCTTAGCTTTCTGTATCACACTTGCATCTCTATCAAAAGTCCAAGTACTGCCAAACATATCTGATTTCTTACATGTTGCATTCCTTCCTCATTAGGAAACCCACAACTTTATATCCATCATCATTTACTCTACCAGAATAGATAAAGAAAAACACATTCCCAGGACAAGTTTTAGATTGTAAGCAGGGAGTAAAAGTAAGCAAAAGAGAAAAGGTAAGAAATAGGTCAATACTGAGACCAAGGGAGCTGCAGTCACAAAAGAAGAACTCTTCCACAGGAGCTATCAGCTTCTCAACAGTGCAATGGATGCAGCAGAGCACTCGAAATTAGGTAAGTCAGCATAAATTAGTGTGCAGAAACACAGCTATGTATATCTGTTGTTGAGTGAATCTGAGTGCTTCACAAGAGCTGGGTACCATGCCACAGTGAGTCGTGACTGTCAAAGTGGAGAAATGCCTGCATCTTAGCATAGGGAGTCGGCATGCTTCTGTCTGTGTAAGCCCCAAACAGAACAGAAGTTTACAGAGACACAAGCCTCCTTGATACAACTTTTTTTTTCCTTCAGATAAGCTAATCATAGCACAAAACCATACCCAAACCCAGAAGCCCTCCTCCCCATCTTGTCCTGAAATGTAAAGGGCGAATGAGGGCACTCTACACACACACACTTTTTTTTTTTAAAAAAAAACAAATAATGATTTTTACATTGATATATAGGAGAGCACATGGCTAAAAGCTCTGGCTGCAGTCCAGAATAATTCATGCTTCCTTATGCAATTCAGCTAATACAATTCAATCCTGATTTGCTACCTCTGTACTATTTCAGCTGTGAACCAGAACGTGCAGCGACACAGATGACACAGAAAGAGGCTGTGGTAATTCAGCTGAGCTCTTAGTCCACGTTTGAGATAAACGAACATCAATTTATTAAAACACAGAAGAGACTGGAGTTAACAGAGCAATTTCAGAATGAGTTTATAAGCAATTGCTTTGTAATCGTGTTTGAGGTTAAGTCCTTGGAAAATTAGCACACTCTTGGCATGCTGCTGATCCCAAGTTAACAATTCACATCATTACCATTAGAAGTCATCACCTAACTTTTGGAGGCTGCTTATCTAACGCTACCTCATGCAAAAGCAGCAAACACAACTCTGTTAGGAACGCAGAGTGCTCATCCTGTGAAACCGGCTTTCCCATAGTATCTGAAAGAAGTCATACCAAGCCTGACCACACTTGCTAAGGAAGTGGGAAATTTGAGTCCAGTTCCTTGTTCTGCTACATTCTGTAATACCTTTACTCATAATCTGAGAAGTCAATTTGAGCTTCATTTTCTGCCTAGCTGATTAAGGGGACAAATAGTACCCTACCACACCTACCAGGTATTTTTTGGTCCACAGGTGAACAGAGCTGTACAACTACCACAAGGTTGTCACCCACCATGAGGCAGCCTTCCTTCCACCTCTGGAACCTACCTACCATTACAGAGCACAGGGGAGACCGACAGTAGGGACCTTGCTCCTTCAGCTCTCCAGGGAAACAGGGCTGAGGTGAGACAGGACAAATCCCATGAGGGATCCAAAGCAGCCTCCTGTTTGAGTTCCTACCAATTGTAAATCAGTTGGACATTTTGTCACCATCCCTGTGATTTACTGCCAGCCAGCAACATTTGTAAACCAGCTCTTTTTCGTTGCCTGAACAGCTAAAGCAGTTGTGGCTCCTGAAAAGACACACTCCATGACAACCACAAGCACAGCTGCACAAAGAAACCATCTCTGTTTAAAGCACCTTCAAATACTAAGTAAGAACTACAGATGTCCCACAAAACACATCTTCTAGGAAGCTGAAGAATTGCTGTAGGATCATCTTATGCTGGGACCAATGATCCCAAACAGGTCTACAGGATGTTCCCAAACCCTTGCCAGTTCAGAAAGGCAGAAGGAGCTGTGCTGAGACACAAGGCAGGCATGACACACCTCTGAACCTTGGTGGCAAGCAAGATCCATCCTCGTTTCCAAAGAAAATGCTTAGGAAAACCTCCCAGAGGGGAACAGAAGAGAAAGTGAATCTAATGGGCTGCTGAAAGAAACATTTCTAGTGCTGCCAGACACAAACCAGTGGTTTTAGGCACAAATCTGTACTTCCTTTACACAGATGAATTCTCTCTCCATGCAAAATCTGGAGAGGGAGCACTAAAGCACTTCTCTAACTGCTATATTTTTCCTCCCCTTATCTCTGCTCCTCAGGACAAAAGCTGACTTGCCTTCATTTTTCCTTCTTTCACACTAGCTGTTTTCATCTGCCACGAAATTTTCAGAGTCTAACATAATATCTACCTTTGAAAAAGGCCTAACCCATCCCAAATTTCCTTATTGTTCCAATACAATTGAGTCCAGTGAAAAGTAGGTTACTCAAAAATGCTTGCTGAAAGAGCGATCCAACTGCTACTATGCTTTCTTTAAAATGAACAGTAAAGTGGTCCTCACCCAACAGGAGCATTAACTTGACAAAATTTCCGTAAGAATAATGTCCACGAATAAACGATCACAAACACTTAACTCAATCCCATAAACCTGCATATAAACTACACAGTATATGTACTTTAAGACTTCTGGAACACTTAGGGCTAACTCGTGGCTGGTTTTCAGAGGCTGCAATTATAACAGGGGAAAAAACCAACCAAATGTGCAACCACCATGGTACGGTAAAGTTCAGCTGCTCTTGATGCTGTACCAATTTATATCCACTGAGAATCAGATCATAGACTCTTAGGCCACTTAAGCAACTCCTTTTCCTTAAAGCTTGCTGCTAATTTTTGTAACTGTCACAAAGAGCTGTAGAAGCCATTGCATGAAAAAGAGGAAGGACATAAAATCTACGTTATATCAGGTGAATTTTTTATCAGTGGCTTTTTTCCACTAAACTTGTCGCTGCATTGAAATTGCTCACCACATAAGAATTACGTGGGTTTAGTTAAAAACAAAGTCTATTGAGTTTTAATTTCAATGTTAGATTCTTAAATACTAATAAACTAATCACATTTCAAAGGCATAAGCAAATCATAAATTAAGGCTGATTTAATGCAGGAAAGAGTTTAATGATGAAAGACTACCGGCTTTCTATCCTTACGGAAACAAAAGAAAAAACCCCAACCTGTCATGGACACTTTTTTTAATGAAAATTCAAGAAGCTAAAACCAGTTTGGAAGCTCAGAGAAAAGCAAAAGCTCTCCTAGAAGTCATTTCTCCTAAGATCAGCCAATAAAACAACTGAAATACTTCATCTGGAAACAGTCTGTACAAAAGGCTACTTTTAAAACTTTCCTACACAAAAGGGAAAAAAACCCAACGCCTTCTGACAGTGCAACATTTTACCACGTAGAATTTTCTGTCAGTCAGTAACTGTTTTCTGTGCAGACCAGCCACTAGAGGGTAGTGGTTCACAAGTACCAAACACACATATGAAAGTATGTAAATTTTTAATATTTTTTTTTTTTAAATTTTTATTTTGAAACCACACCTGCATACAGCACAGCCTCAATGCGGTCCTTGATGTGCTCAGTGTTGCTCTGTGATACCAGCAGGAGCTGAGATGTTCCATTAGGAGATGGCACTACGAGGGGTCCCACTAGAAACGCGCCAGCAGCACCCAGGTAACTGAGCAGTGACGCGATGGCTGTTGCTGTGGCACGTTCATCCGGAGAAAACCACGTCGTGGAAAGAAATGGTGCTGCGTTCATCACAGTTGGCCCCGCCAAGCCGTTTAACAGCTGCCCTCCGTGAATCAGCCTGGAATAGAGAAGAGAGACCACAGTCTTTTTTTTTTTTTTAATTAAAAAACCATGTAAGATATTGAGTGCTGGAGACTGAGCGACTGCACAAAGAAATGAAAGTCCTTTGGAAAAAAAAGAATATTCTATATACTAAAAGAAGCCCAATTAGACTGATTTAAAGAATCCAGAGCTACTCTGGTCTCATTACCTCAGATAAATGGAGAAGCAAATGTTCTCTTCAAAGCAGGAAAGTAAGAGGGAATAAAAGGGACTTTCTTTGCAGAAAAAAAGGTATCATGATAGGATATAAAAGTAGAAAAGGTGTAGTAGCAGGAAAGCTTTAAATTACAAATGTCTTAAGCCTGACCCCTTGCCTGTATAAATCCCAACTGAAGATTGAAATCAGTTACGACAGATCCAAAATTGAAACACTTCAGCAAAATACTCTGCATATTTTTTCACTGCATTATTTATTTTTATTTACACACTCAGATGAGCTCTATGTGCCTACAGATGAGGAGGCTGGGCTGTTGAGGTTTCCAAGAGAATCGTCTTCTCCAGAAATCTGGCCTTTCTCAACATACTGTTGAAACAGCCAAGCAAACCCAGATTTTTCTCGTTTTTCACACTCATTGGGATTTAACAGATAAGGCTGGTGACAGAACAGAGATAGTACTTCCAAGCAGTGAAGACTCGGCAAACTTTGGCTTAATATTAGTACAATGAGCACATACAGAAAGGACTTTTTGAAGGCTCTTCTACATGTGGAAGTGAGCCAGAAACCTTCCACTTTGACTTTTCCAAAAAGTGATCAGCCATGACAGGCAAAAGGGTTTTGTATTTTTTTTTTTTACTTCATGTATAAAAACTTCATGTATAAAAACCAGCTAGCGAGTCAAACAAAACACTGCAACCCTCCAAAGTAGATCTATCCATTGGGCAATAAAATGGTGCAAGATGATATTTTTAAATGGGTGGTGTTTTTCTAAGCATAGCAGGAACTTGATGTTATTGCTGCAAGACTTGAGTTGTCAGACATAAAAAGCTACGGCCTGAAAATGGGGAAGCATAAGTTAGCATTTAGGCAATGTTTCAAGCCACAAACGGCTGAATAATACACAGTGTAGCTTGAGTTTTTTAAAGCACACAAAGGAACAAAATATGCAAAAGAAGGGCTGACAGATTCTTTATCAAATTAACAAGCTAGATTGCAATAAGAAGGAATAGATGCTACTGAATCTCAGCGGATTAGAAATTAAATTTTTAAACAAAATTTATAAAAATATACAGAAAAAAAGAAAAACCTATTACATATCATCTGAAGGAAATACTTACCAAGATAGAACAGAAGTAATACCACTCTTAAATATAAGCAATTGCAATCCTTTTTTTTTTTTTTTTTTTTTTTTTTTTAAAGTTCACACAGTGAGGATAGATTTCATTACTATTTGTTCATGATGTGTTTCAGATTGACATCACCATGGCATGGTCAGGCCATTTTAATGCTTGCTAAACTAGGGCCCCCCAATAAAATAAAATTAAACAGTTTCAAATAAATAAAAAGCACTTTCTAAATAATGCTCTGCTATAGTTTTCTGGAGAACACACATTAATTCCTTATGGGTACTCTCCAACCCCCTGTTCTTTAGACAAACCAAGGTATCCTTGTGCACCTTGGTATTTGCATTCTACTTATCTCATTACAATAAGTTATTTTCAAACTTATCCTGAACTGTTCGAGGGTATTTGCAGAGCTATGCTACATCCCCAGAAACAGCTGCATTTCAGTAGCAAGTGAGGTAAATACTGCAACATAGAAAGGTTTTATTTTAGTATCTCCTTTCGCTCCAAAGTGAATTTAATTCTTAAATTGTGGGTTTGTTACTGTATGCTAGGGAAACTGTCACCACAAAATAACCTTTATAGCTACAGGTGCCATACTAACACTTCTGTTCACTTAGACCACTATGATAACATTGTTTTAATTCAAATACGCCTACTCTATAGAAATCCTAAGGGCAAATAAAACTCACTAAAATTAGTAAAAAAAGTACAACAGTTCTTCTGCAGCGCCTAAGGGCATGTACGCACTTCATCTGGTAGAAGAAAAGTTTTGTAAAAAAACCCCAAACAAACCACCAAACAACCCAATTTACATATTGTGAGAATTATATATACTTTTTTCATGTACTTACACTTCAGATTTACATTATGTCTATCAAACTTCACCATCTGAATAAAGCTATTAACTGACCTCTATCCTGGAGGGAGAAACAGATGTTCATTTTACTTTCCAGATCCAAAGTGAGAAAGTAGTATCTTAATCCAGAATTTTAATTCTAAATTACTTTTCTGTCTTCCCCCGCAAAGAAAGAGCCAATTTTTGTCTCTCTGTAGGTCTCTCCTGTCAGGGGTTGCTCTCTCCCTCCTGCCTTGCCCTGCCTGGTGTGCTGTCTGTTCCCACGGATTTCCCTTCCCATCTGCATTCTGGCATTTTCCAAGCTTGACATTATCATCTACGGTAGAGCATCTCTTATCTTCATATTGCTTAATTTTTCAAGTCTAACATATTCAGGTTAATAAACACGATTTTCAGACTAAATTGCCACTGATATACAGACTACTACCTCAAATATCTCTGCATATGATAACAGCCTAAACCTTACTTTATGTTTTTCAATACTGGCTTGAATGAAGCTACTTTTTCCTGAGAAAAAGATTATTTTCCTTGTTCCTCTACACATCCTTAACTAATTTCCCTAGAGAAGCAGGGACAAGAGATTCAAAATGCCATTCAGAGCGTTTACCAAGCTGCTACTCTGGGAGACGTATCTAGCAGCCGTTCCATCTGACAGAGAAATATGAACACAACAGTATCGGTGGCTTTTTGCTGTTTGTTACAACGTCTTATCATCACCGTGCTGGATTTTGGTCTCACAGCCCACAGGAGTCTTCTCTTGCACACCATCAGTGCTAAAAATTGCTCCAACACCAAGGGACATTTGTTTGTTACTCCCCAATTTCCTTTTTGTTTCTGCTACTGAAAAGGTGCAGAGAGCAACTGCAATTTTCCCTCTCATTATTTCAGTTTCATTCTGCACAACAAGATTTCTCTTCCCTGCAAAAACGGCTAAAAGAGATAACTTTAGCTCAGGACCCTATCCAGATGGAAAAATAATTTTCAGTCTTATTACACTAACAGGGTAATTTTAAGCTGTTATTTATCCAGCTCTGCTCTGTTTTCAGGTGCATTATTTATTCAATCATCTTCTAATTATTTTCATGTATCAAAAAGCAGAATGTTATTGAGTTCAAGTAATAAAAAATAACACAAGACTTGGAAGGCTTTTTAATCACAATCATGAGAGAGAAAATTGGAAAAAATGACACAAGAAATTCATCCCTGACTTACAAAATAATCGATGACTGTCCAACATAAAAGTGAGGAAGTAAACATCTATCCCAAATATCTTGCTTCTAACCATTTCAGAAGCCAAGTCAGGGACTCATTTCAAAAATTCAAGGTTTTTGCACGCTTGACCTCTGTGTTGATGAATTTGTGTGCTCTGCAAACTTGTAACTTGCAGCTTAACACGAGCTCTTTACAAAAAAAAAAAAAAAAAAAAATTATTTGAGGACTGGTAGTAAATGCTAGTGCAAAACGTCATGTGCCAGAGCATCATAGTAACGGATAACTTATACATTTACATTATGTATATATCTATCTATAAAAAAATAATACACAGACATGTATATATATATACACACACACACACACACTTCCCTTTGCACAAAATAAAGACCACATTTGCTCCTAAAACTGGCCTCTGAATTGCAAAAAGATAGAACAAGGGGCAGTTCAAATACACCAATAGAAATTAGAGAAGAAAAACTCTTATTGTAGTATATTGTCATCTCTTTTCCAAATCTTTGGCAATTCACATTATAAACTATATGGTTTTCATCACTTCCGTGAGATAAGACTTCATATGAGTATTAAGAAGTAACCTGGTTAGGCCTGCTTTATTCACTCCTGCTGTCACTGTTGCAGTATCCTAATAGGCAACAACAACCACCACCACATGGAAGGCTATAAATGCTGAAATCACAATATCACTGAGCAAACAGGGTATGAAAGAAAAGTTAGATTATACAGGAAAAAGGTTTCGGTGATTGATGATAATACCATATAGTTGAGATGAGAAAGAGCTTCCATTTACAGTTAGCTTTATTTATCTTTTTCCCCCTGTATGGGTTGAAACTTTTCATGCATGGTCGCAGTCCTGTCAGATATTGGATTTGTTAAGCTATTTAAAAGCTGTGTGTTACATAAACACTGTTCCTACGTAAAACCCCCAGACATTTAGTGTTTTTACCACAGTAGGTCTCATGCCTGAACTTAAGAGAATTTTAAATGAAAGAAAATCTCATTAATTTCCATACTCAGATGGGGAAACAAAGGAAACAGTAGAGGGAAAATGTCTTGCTCAAAAAATTACTCCTAATGCAACAGATTTAAACCACAACACTAAAATAAGTCTCCAAAGCTCAGTTCTAAGACATATTAATTGAACATGTTTTGGGAAGGCTAGGGCTGGAGAAGTCACATGAGTATTTTAACACTGATTAGCAGAGTGGAAAAAGCGTTGTCACCTTTTCTTCAGCAGGCAACGCAGGGGAAGAGTGAGGCTGTTGGCCCCAGTGCATTGCTCTGACTCTCTAAACATGGATTTTCTCTACCAGCCTCTGACGAGCCCTCAGTCAATGCGGAAATTAGGTTCCTCTAGACCCTAAAAGGGAGAAGAGCCTTGTGAAGATGAGATTTTGGTGCAGGTTTTTCGCCCTGAAACTTTTACCATGCTTTTCCCACTAGCTGCCATGAGAACTGACTGCTTAGTCACTATTCAAACTGTTATAAAAATGCAATGCAAAAAACCTGGTAATTCAATTTCTCTGCTGTTTAGCAAAGTGTGAAGAGCAATGAAGTTGTTGAGAGTGCTAACCGCTGCTGCACGA